ATTCAATGGGAGATAATTCAGAAATAGTGAAAATTTGGTGGCTTGTTTTAAAAATCTTCTCAAGAACCACTGGGCCAAAAAAGTTGAAACTTAATAGGAAAACTTCTTTACATAGTGTAGATTCAAGTTTGTTCAAACAATGACTCCCAGGGCCTTTGTTGCAGAGTTTCAGCCTAGTGTGAACATGTCATTAAAAATGAATAATCCTTTTGTAAATTTTATACCTGTATCAGGTAAGTAGTTACCATGATTATTATACTAAGTAAGGCATTGCTCAAAATTGAATCTAAGAACTGTTCCACAAAAATAATTCATGATCATTTAGACAAAATTCAGGTTCTTGGTATAAAATTCTTGGGACTATCTAATTACATGCATAACCTAACAGTAAAGAATCACATGTTTTTTGTTTTGTTTTTTTTTTTTTTGGTTAACACAAAAAGGACACTTGGAATTTCATTAATAAATGTATTCATTAACTAAAAGTGAAATCCAATTGGAAATACATGTATATATAACTTTCAAAAGACTTACATAGATATTAACCCTGACACAGGTTGAATTGATATACAATATATACAATGTATACATTTCACATCCAAAAGGGCAAAAGGTATGGAGAACGGTCTCAACATACATCTAAAAGTACATGTATTTATTACTTTCATATTTGTCAACAAAAAGCACAAAAATGTACTTCAAATAGTATAATAATTAAATCAATGATATAAAGAAATGTAATATTTCATTTTTTTAAAAGGAATGTTGTTTGTATAAAAAGTACAAAAATGTAACCAATTTACAGGAAGTTAAACATGTATTCATTGTTGTTTATCTAACCACTTCATCATGTTCCACATTGTTTGTAACTTCTGAGTAGCATTTTCTGTCTGTTCTGTGAATCTGATACATTTCAAAAGTCCTTCTCTTGCCTCTGTACAAGAGACTCTTGGACACTCATCTGTTACTTCCGTACCCTGTCCTTTATTATCTGTATCTGTTTCACTCTGCAGTGTTATGTTATTTATCTCTTCAAATCTAAGGTACTGCTCTATTGTCATTTTGTGATCTCCCTCAATTTTTCGCATCAAGACTTGTGCATCATTTCCTATATTCTCCCCTGCATTGGATGGAATGTTCAGCACTTCAACACATGATAACAACTTAGACTGCTGCCAGTATTTCAGGATAGTCTGCGGTGGAACTGTAACCCAGGAATTGTAAATGTATCTTAGAGCATCTCTCAATCCCAAATTTTCCTGTTCACCCTTTGACTGCTGTTCAATATAATGCTGTAGACAATAGCCTCTGTATCGAGTCTTAAATTCATCCAATAACCCTGCATCAAAAGGATTATTCATACTCACTTCTTCAACACTCTGAGGAAGATACATGAGCTTTATGTTTCGAAGTCCACTTTCTATTTCTTCATGCTGGAGAGAAAATTTCAGTAAAAGCAGAGCTTTCTTTTTGTTGATGCTCAACTGTTCATCAAAATCAAGTATCCAGTCTGAGAAGAGATTTGCATCCTTGCTATTGATAATCCTGAACCATGCATAGTTGTCTGGCTGAAATCTTTCTCCAAGAATTTTTGCATTTGATGGTGGTGTGAAAACAAAAGGTTTTAGCATGTTTGATCCATTTGCATTTGAACACAAACCTACTACGACACTTGCCATAGTGGATGTTTGTCGATATGGCTTCAAGTTATATATGAGCTTTAGCTCCTCAACACAGTACACTTCATTTAAGTCATAAAATTTCAACTCTGAATGTATCTGATTCATGAAATCAATCTGTGATCCCACAACTACAGGGCTTGTCTCTGTGGCTATCTTTCTTTTGTTGAGCCCATATCTTATTTTGAAACAATGCAGCCATCCATTTGAATATGAAAAAGTTTCATCAACTGCAAATTCTTCCCCTAAAGACTGTGCCTTTTCTTTTATTGCATTGTTTGTAATTCCAACACCACGCATATTATTCTCCACTATCCACTTGTAGAGCTTTTCTTCCATATCAAAGTTCCTCGTTTTTCTGATTCTCCGACAGTTTTCCCTTAATTTTGGAAGACTTAAATATTTTGATTTGAGCTTCAAAATGTCACTAACTGTTGAGTGACCAATGTGTCGATTCCATTTTTCTTGAAAATGATCCCTAATTTTTCTCATTGTGTATTTAGGATTTTCTTCCTTGAAAATACACATTTCTCGTTTTTGCCCCATTGTTAACTGCCCCCTTGGGTAAGATGATCTGGAGTTGCCATTGCATTGTTTTGCAGTTTCAACTGGTTCTATTAAAGACCCTTGTTCTTCAATAAAATGTTCACCGCTGTCATGTTCAAAAGATGGGTCGTATTCTTCAACTTTCATTTCTAGCTCTTCGTAAATTTGAATATCCGTGTCCAATACACGCCTAGAATGTGAATTTTCAGTGCAATCCTGTTCCATACCTACAGAATGTAGATGAACAGCAAAATGATAAAAAGTATTATCTGACCGCTAGATTTGAAACTTCCGGTTGAGCAATGAAAGTTAAATCAAACATTGAATAATTCCGAGGATACGATCAAATCTAAATGTAATTTAATTAAGAAGAATTATACTAAGAATAATACATAAGCATAATAAGAAAGAAGTCTTGTTTACGATTTTTTTTCAAAAGGAGGGGCAATGCCAGAATTTCCATTCTATTGGATTTATTAAAAACAAACAAACAAACAAACAAAAACAAAAAGAACCAAAGCAATAAAAAAAAAAAAACAAGAGGCCCATGGGCACATCGCTCACCTGAGCACTGTGGCTAGGAAAAAAAGCAAAAATCAGTTCAGTATTAAACGCTTTAATGCATAAGTTGTCCTAAACTACCCCTAAAAGGACGGGGGGGGGTATGATTTGAACAAAATTGAATCTACTAAGATGCTTACATATTTCTTTGACTAACTGTGACTTTTTTCCCTACAAGTTTGAACTTTCATTATGGTCCCATCCTACTCCCGGGTGTCATGATTTGAACAAATCTGAATCTACACTATCTGAAGATGCTTCTATATAAATATGACCAATCAAAGCTTTGCTGTTCTTGAGAAAAATTTTTACAAATCTGAATCTACACTATCTGAAGATGCTTCCATATTAATATGACCAATCATAGCTTTGTTGTTCTTGAGAAGATTTTTTTTTAAATTTCCTATGTATTCCTATGCATAACTTTAATAATCAATTGTGGCCCCATCCTATCCTCAGGGGGTCATGATTTTTATCAAGCATGAATCTACAATACCTTAGGATACTTCCGAATAGTTAATAACTAATCATGCTTTGCTGTTCTTGAGAAGATTTTACCTATATATTCCTATGTAAAACTTTGATCGTCCATTGTTGCCCCCACCCTACCCCTGCGAGTCATGTTTTTCACAAATTTGAATCTACACTACTTGAGGATGATTCCACATGAGTTTCATCTTTCCTGGCCCAGTGGTTCTTCAGAAGAAGCTTTTTAAAGATTTTTCCTATATTTTCCTATGCAAAACTTTGAACATCCATTGTGGCCCCACCCTACCCCTGGGGGTCATGTTTTTAACAAGCTTGAATCTACACTTCTTGAGGATGATTTCACATGAGGCCGTGCCCCCCCCCCCTCCCCCAATAATTTTGCCGATATATAGAGTACTATAGAAAACATAGATACTATATGCTTGTGCGCCCTCAATAAAAACGTCTGATTACCTTTTTTTTTTTTTTTTTGCTTGTGAAGGAATTTTTGGTAGTTGATGGTGTCCCCTCAACTGAAAGTGTATGGCTGTGCCCCCCCCCAAACTGAAATTGCTTCCTACGGGCCTGATATATACATATATATATGTTGGGGGTCTAATTACAAAGGAAAGAGGGTGTCATTTCATGTTTCCTTAGATTAAAAATACCATCTCCTGGCATGCAGTAGTTGATAAATTTCAAACAAAATATTTGTTTAATTTTTGCTCAGATACACACACAAAGTTGCAATCTGTCTTTATCTGTACGTTTAACAGACTGCAGGGATCCAGGAATTTTTTCCGGGGGGGGGGGGGGTCAAATGCATTTACTAAAAAATCCGACTTAAAAACTTTTCGACAATCTAGGAAAATGTTTACTTCTCCAAATCCCCAAAAGGGGGGCTGCTGAGCATACCCCCCTCCTCGATCTGTGCATGGACTCTGTTGATACTGATAAGGTTTCAAGATACAAGAAACATGATAAGAAACTTAAATTAAAACCAGAAGTGTTTTTTTTTTAATTTTTTTTTTTAACAAATTACATCCACTGGTTTGGACTGGGTCTGACCAAACATATGTATAATATTTCTTTTGCGAAATTCAAATTCTATTTTTTTTTCTCAAAAGTATCAAAAGTTTTCATTTAAATCAGTGAGAAGCATGTCAATATAATTCTGAAGTGTTTTTTGATATACATATATTAAATGTAAGGGATTGTTCGTTTTATTAACACCAGGAACATTTTTCATTGGAATGAAAATTAATAAACAGAATTACAAGTATGAATGTTGACATTGCTTAATTTTAAATGGTTTTGACTACATACCTGAAGAAGGAGTTGCATTTTGAAATAATTCAATAAATAATATTAATTTGTGTAACATTTGAAGAAACTGAAAATCATGTATTTTGATGTGGTCCTTTTAAAATTCCATACTTGAAAATCTTGCTATCTTGACTGAACCTAATCTGCATTTCTTAAAAGGTCAACAATGAAATATATACTTACAAAGCAATAACCTCCTTTAATATTTTAATATTATTGTCTAAACATAAACAAAAGGTAAACCCATTCTCTGTAAACATTAAAAGTGACTGATTCTGACAGGTTTTTATGTGACTTTATTTTGGTAATTTAATTGTAGCATGTACATGTCAACCTTTAATAATTTTTCACATCCAAATACAAAAACAATTTTCAATTAATAACAAATTATTGTAAAATTCACAAAAATACACTATCCCATTTGAAATATCACAGAAATATTAAAATATGGCAACTTGCCTTTTTCTAATCTGAAAACTTATTTTCATTTTGTTTGACTACATAAATATAAATGCAAAGTATACAATATATACATTACTTTGTAATGTAAATTCTTCATAATTATTAAGTGTGACTACATGTTTTATTTCAATAGTCACATAAATTACACTGCATGTGAAATTTATAATCAAATTAACAATATATAAAATAATAAAATGAATATCCGCAGTAACTTCCTCAGTCATCCTCTATTTTTTCTTTCTTTTTCTTTGGAGCACTGTTGAGATTGTTCCATACCTCTGCTGTTTTCCGATCACACTTTGTTACCCGACTGAAGTCTATGGCCTGGAGTTGTGGAATCATTGCCAGGATCTGGAACTTGTAACCCTATCAAGACACCAAAGGACATGTTTAAAAAGAATGAATTCAAAAGCATTTACCAAAAGTCCCCAGTCAGTTTTGGAAGAAGTTATTTGTTTGCCAAAACCAGTTAGTTAAAATGTTGCTTCTCAGTAAATGAGTAAATATATCATACCCTAGTGTATTGTGACATACAATTTAAGTCAAATTTTTCAGTAATTGTAATCTATGGTCATATATTAATGAGGCTTGATATTTAAGTTTACAGTTAAATATAACCAATCTATTCTACAATGATTCTAGAAGAAATATATAATCAATGTACTTGTTTTTCCCTATTGTAGTCTCAACCTGACTCCTAGCTAGGACTTGCACTTTTTATCTTGATTATATGTAGAGACTTCTACAATGCTTTCAAGAAATGAGGGTTTTTTTCTGTTTCTTTGCAGAAGATTCTTTCTCACATACTACTATGGATATGCTTAAGCCTGGTTACCGAGACTTTTACAGGACACTATTGATCTGCTTTTACCATTTTCTGATTATATCCTCTTGGTTTTAGGCAATGTCCTTTATTTGAACAATTGTGAATTCCTCAAGATTGATTTGTGGCAAGTTGGTAAACTTGGCCCTGTGGTTTATACAAGGACATTAAATTGGGAACAGATTACTGTTAATAGTAGGCTGGATGGACAATTTAAATCAGATATTGCTATTTGGAATTTAAAACTTGTCAAAAAATTATAGAAAACTTTTACTTCTACATTGTATTTTTAAAATTATAAAACATGTCAATCTAAAGCGTACCAAGAAACTTGCTTCTATAAGTAATGTTTCTTTTAACTACAACAAATCACAAAATTTATTACCTAATCATTCAATATCAAACCATTCAAAATTTGAGCTTTATCAGAGCAGAAAACACCAAAAATGAAATGTGCATTAAAGTGTGTGATTGCAGGCCAAAGGTATATGTGTTAAAATGTTTGAATGCAGGGAAGGGGGTTAAGTTTAGCTTCTGCACTATATACAACTATACAAGAATAAACATACTTTGGTATTGTGTATCTTTTTGGTTTTATAACTTTTTTTATCGAAGAAGCATTAAGTAAGGAATTATCTGTGATCAGTTTGACAGCTTTTAATCACGTAAGTGTGTTTCCTGCATACAAAACCTACATGAACTGCATGACATGAAATTTGATTAAAAGCAGGTATTTAGAGTAAATGAGTCACAACTGAAACCCATTAGATTAAGCAAAATATCCTAAATTTGCAAATGTTGACCATTTTTACACCACAATTAATTCCTGTTCTTAACTATTTAAAGATACAAAATGCATTCATAAAAATCTGTTAAGATGTTAAAATAATGAAATTCATCAAACGTTGTGGTTGTTGTTTATTTAACTCTTTACAAATAGTAATTAACTCAATAACTTTTCATCCTTAACCCCCCCCCCCCCCCAAACAAAAAAAAAAACTTTAACAAAAAGCTAATTGGCCAAATTAGAATTTTTCAAATAGTTTCTCAACAATCTCTGATCATGTGCAGCAAGTCTTCATTTCTTTCATTCCTACCTTTGCTTTCTCCAGTGGGTTGCCATGGGTTGTCAGCTTTCGTAACTTCTTCAGAGCAGAAAGCTTAGCAACCTCTTTAATGTCTGCTATTTGATTACCATGGAGATATAAGATCTGAAGCTCAGTAAACTCTAACAGAACCTACAAAACATCATAATAATGCAAATGTTTACATTTTCAAGGCATTTTTTATTTTGGTTTAAAACATGAAATTAACAATGTGGTAAAAATATCTCAAAATGAAAGATGATGAATAATCAAATTTAGTGTAGATATTGCAGAAATATCTCCATGAAAAAAATGAAAGCCATGAACAGCATTATCATTTATTATTATTTATTTTTTACTATATTCATTATAAAAAAAAGAAGAGAAACTCAAATAGGATTGCAAGATCTCTTTAAAAAAGAAGACACTCAAATTTTTCAAAAAGGTTTCTTTTTGCGGGGTCAAGCACTGAGAAATTGGTATAACCATTATATGTATCCTAACCTACTGACTGACAATGGACAGTTTGTGTTTATAGAGAGCTATGCTTTTCATGATGCAATACATTTCATGACTTAAAATATTAAATTTCTTGTAAATATCATAGGCTCTTGTAATAAAAATTAAGATAATTTAATTAAGATTATGAATTTCAAAAATGTGAAGGAAGTCTTTTGTACAGAAGATGGAGGAAAATGTTAAATCATGTTAATTTTGACTTCAAAACATTGTAATGAAAAAAAAAAGTTGTTTATTTTAATTGAAAAAAGTTTATTGCTATTAAATGTATGTAAAATGATACAATGTACATGGTAATTAAGCACCCCCCCCCCCCACCATTTTTTCAGAGTCTGTAAAAATATTCCCTTGTTCTGAAATTTTACAAAATAATGTTGCTGCCTTAAAGTCATGTACCGTATATACTCGCCTATAAGTCAGTTTTTTGGGAGTTAAACTTTGGTCCAAAGCTCTATGTCCGACTTATAGGGGAGTTATAAAAAGATTGGTATTTTAGAGGGTCAAGCCCTCCAATATAAGCTTAAAAAATTCAACCGACTTATAGGCGGACCGACTTATTTGCGAGTATATACGGTACCTTTGTTTTTAGTTTTAGATATGCCTACTGAGGATATGTGGGAAGTAAATAAGTCCAAAAATATGACTGTAGAAAAATGATCACTATATTTTACCGGATCAACAGTTGTAAGTTCATTGAAAGATAAGTCAATCCAAGCAATATTCTTGGGATTTTCAAATTTGGCATTTATGACTTCACCAAGTCGTTCAATTGACTGAAGGCTGTTATTGTTTAAACGAAGACATCGACTTGTAGACTTGCCATCCTCAGTAAGGCCTTGATTCTTTCTTGGAGATGATCTGGGCTCCTCGTCTAGTGCATCTGTGAAGTGTAAAATGTGTAGTTAAAAAATTTTATACATTAAATAAGGTTCTTTTTATTCTGACACATAGTTTGCTGAATACATTAAAGCTTAGGGGCTGGGGGTAAAGTGTATTCAATCCTTACCCTCTACTTTATTTAGCCGACAAAATGAATAATCAAGTGGATCCTGTATTTCATTTGTGGCATCTATGGATGGCAATGCATCTGTTTTCTTTTTGGGTGTATGTGGAACAACACTGAATAAAGAAAATACATCCTCAAATTTTTGTAAGATATAGGTAACAAATATTTGAAAATAGAAATATATAATTGAAATAGGACTTCAACTTAATATTCAAAACTTCCAGGGGCATAGCTGCCAAACTGTAGCATTATGGTTTTATCATGTTATATTTTAGTCCTTGACCATAACGGCAACGCTACACAATGAGTACAGATCCCGTAGTGTAAAGCAAGTGAAATTCACAGCACAAGATTTTCTGCGCACTTTGGGATGTATTTCGCCACTTTCCAGCACTGGTCAATCAACATGCAAGCTTTCATACCTTAATTCTAGACATATTCTATAACCAACCTGTATATTTTATCCGCTTCATAACCGTTTATTGTCATCTCTACAGACCGATTAACTCGTTTGTTGTGAATTTTGGATGCATAACGAGTTTATTGGTCTGTAGAGACGACTATAAACAGTTAGGAGGTGGATAAAATATACAGGATGGTTATAGAATATGTCTAGATTAGGGGGATGAAAGGTCGTTGATTGACCAACGCTGGAAAGTGGCGAAATACATCCCCAAATTTTTCAGAAAAGCTTGCGCCGTAAATTGCATTTTATTTACATTACGGAATCTGTAGTGTTATGGTCAAAGTCTAAAATATAAAACAATAACGCTACAGTTCAGAGTTCTGTATGCAGCTACCAAGGACGTATTTACGTCCCTGAAACTACAAATCAGCTGCCGATTATATCGTGTTGGCAAATTTTTCACACCAATAAACAAATTCAATCCTGTTTAACTTCACAAATTATATTTGATAGTCAAATACACTCATCACACTGTTGACTGGGGTTTGGGAGAAATAACAGAGGAAATTCTAGCAAATGTCAAATTCAAATCGAAAAATGTACCGTTGACCTATTTCTGTAAAAGCAGCATATTACCTGGATCCAGACATCATTGACTATTATTCCAACAACTTTGGGAAGCTTTTTAAAGTACTTTTTTTTCTTATTTCAGTTTTCACATAATGTTTTGAAACACTTTGACGCGGTTGGGTTGCTGGGACGACACAAGTTTACTCGGGTCTTTTTAAAAGTGTAGTAGAGTTCCGAATGAATCTTAATTTTCAGAGAAGAAATGAATTAAAATCCGGAATACGTTATTACTTTCCCAATTTAACAACGGCGTTCTTTCATGTAATGAAACAGTAAGATCGCATATAGCTTTCTAGGCTAGGTCAATATTAGTTCTTCTTCCAAGAAATCAAAGGAATTTATAACAATTTATTTATCAATTATTTACAATTTATATCGTGATGACTTCAACTTTTCGATCTATCGTCAACTTGCCTTAAATATGTAGCAATATATCTTTATCACCTGTATATGGAATTTATGTCTCCCAGTTGGTTCAATATGTAAGAGCATGCTCTACGTGTGGACAATTTCTAAAATGAGGCAAGCTATTGACAAACAAATTGATGGAACAGGATATCAACAGTCTTTTGTGAATTCAACATTTCGCAAGTTCTACGTATGGTCGATACGCAAATACAATCTATTATAAGTCGAATGCTGGCTGACGTTTTTCATACTAATTATTATTTACACACTGAATTGTCTATGGATTTTTCCGTTTGCCTGATCATGACAAGGAGCATGCCAAGAAATCCCGTCCATTTTTCCACAGCGATAGAGTCAATAAAAGTGTAATTGATGCAAATCACCCATATTCCCCTAACGCTGGCGAGACAATTAACGGCATCAGACTTGAGGGGGTGGATCCTAAGTTTTCCGTTTTTCTTAGTAAAAGAAAAATAAACTTCTACCCCAGGAAGTAACCTCCTATGCCCTGAAAAAAAAATAGTTCCTGTCAAAAACCTTTATTTGTTTACAAAATATGTAAAATGCACTAGACACAGGTACCAAAATTGTAAAATAGACTGGAAGGAAATAAAAAAAATTCAAAAGAAAAAATAATAATTTTATATGTATGGAACTACAATTGACTAAGTTCATTTTCATTGGTCAATTAGCGGTATGATACCTTAATAAGGCGCGAGACTTCCACAACAACCAAGTTCATCGTGCCCGATGTTAATTTATACTAGGAAAAAACTATTTTGATATGGAAACACTGAAAAATTTGAAAGGCGTCTAATTTTTACTGAACAATTAATTAGTTTACTACAATCTATTGCACTTTCTTTTTCTTCTATTTTACTTTTTTAACCGCATATGATTTGCATGGAAAATCCCCCCTCCCCTTCAATTAAAAAAAGACGGGAAAAAGGTGCAAAGGCTTCTAAATAATAAGTATTCTAGCTTTAATTTAGAACCAGTAAAACTTAAGATCCTTCCCTCAAAACTGCTGACATTAATTGCCTCGCGCACATCTCCCTGGGGAAAATCACAGATTAACGCTAATTCCGCTTTTATTGAGTTCGCTCTAAAACTACAATGCGTACTTTTTCTTGGCATGCACCGACACGGCGGGTGTGACAGGTCGACAGGGGATGCTTACTACCCAATGGCACCTGATCCAACCTCTGATGCTTTTGGAGGTCCGTGTTTTCTCTGCTCCCGATTTGTATTTTTCCAGGCGCGGATCCAGGATTTTTTTCCGGGGGGGGGACCCCAGTCAAATTTCTTGACAAGCAAAAAAAACAAACAAACAAACAAAAACGACAAAAAAACACTAAAATTCCCTTCCCAAACGTATAAAGGACATGCGCAACGTAGTTTGAACTTTATTGTCTTTTTCCCTGGAGTTGAAGAGTTCTGATTCTAAAAGGAACTGTGTGTGCTACTTTATGTCTATATATGCTGTTGTACACTTCTTTTCAAACAGGTCACGTTTAGATGAACAAAACATCTATAATATATGTTTAGTAATTTTTGTATATTTTTCTTTGAATTATACAAGAATTTTCATCAACTGAAATCTTTTCAAAACCCCTGGTAATGCATGATGATTTTTTTGTCTACGAACATCTGATGGCACTATAATCCTAAATTAAGAATATCTTGAAAAATTATCAGTTGGTAAGGTACGTTGCGTATATGTCCTTAAACTCAGAAAATTTCTTGACAAGAAAAAAAAAATTAAAATCCATTTCCAGAACGTGAAATAGCTTATTTCGTGGTAGTGATGATGTGGTCCACGTTTTCTTGGGGGGGGGGGGGGGGGAGGGGGGGTCCAAAGTCATTTTTTATTTTTTTTACTTGTGTCAGTATATACTTTTAATAAATCTGCAAATTCCGGGGGACCCCCCCCCCTCTAGATCCGCGCATGCATTTCATACTACATGTATATGTTTTATATATAGTGACAATGCTATAAATGTAAAACGATTATGTATTAAAAAATTAATGAGTTAGCACTTGTATTTAGCTGGTCAGGCATAATCAATCAAGATACAAATTTATCACAATCAACGATGATAATTACCAGTACCCAGATAAAGGGTTTGAAGTTAGAAGTGACTCTCGAGCTACCGAAAGTGAACGCTGGAAAATATGAAAATTTGGTCTTACTTTCCTTTTGAGTCTTCAAGTAATTCTGACATACTGATTTTGTATCTTGCTTAGCAAGTCCATTTCACCAAAATGGACTTTGTGATTTTATAACTATTTTGTCAAGAAGTTTTCTATTCAACAATTATTATATAGCGTGTCTATCAATAACCTTTAATAAACATTTTAAAAAATGGTAAGTTATTATATTTCAATTTTAAGACTATAACATTATTATATATATATATATATATATATATATATATATATATATATATATACATGTATATATATATATATATATACATACACACACACACACACACATATATATATATATATATATATATATATATATATATATATATATATATATATATATATATAACCTCTCAGTGACCTTCAATTGTTTCAGATTTAAGATAATAAAGAGATACAAGAGGCCCAAGGGCCTTGAATTGCTCTTCTGATAAACTGTACAACCTCTCACTTCTATTTGAAGCCTCTAAGTATCCTGTATATTTATATAAACCCTTGAAATTCCAAAGGTAGGTCATCATGACCTACATTTTAGATGAAACACTCTAAGAACCCAAGATGAGTTTAAGCCAATTAGTACCTGAGATTTGGTCATGGTGACCTACTTATCATTTGTCATTCTCTGAGGAACCAAGATGTATCATTTAAGTTTGATGATTCTAAGCCAATTAAAACCTAAAATATTTTTAAAATTATAACCATAAAATTTCAAAAGTAGATCACAGTGACCTACTTTTCAGTCGACTAACTCTGCGGACCCATGATGGATCAACTGACAAAGTTTGATGATTCTTAGCCAATTAGTACCTGAAATATTTAATTAAAGCCATAAATTTTCAAAAGTAGGTCATGGTGACCTACTTTTCAGCCGACCTACTCTGAAGACCCAAGATGCATCAACTGACAAAGTTTGATGATTCTTAGCCAATTAGTACACAAAATATTTAATTATAGTCATATAAATTGAAAAGTACGTCACGGTGACTTACTTTTCAGTTGACCTACTGCGAGGACCCAAGATATATCAACTGACAAATTTTGATGATGCTAAGCCAAATAGTAGCCGAAAATATTAAATACAGCCATAAAATTTCAAAAGTAGGTCAGGGTGACCTACTTTTCAGTTGCCGTACTCTAAGAACCTAAGATGCATCAACTGACAAAGTTTGATGATTCTAAGCCAATCAGTTCCTGAAATGTTTAAACCATAAATTTTCAAAAGTAGGTCATGGTGACCTTTTTTCAGTCGACTTACTCTATTACACAAATTATATTGTCCCAATTGAAATAATTACTTGAGTAACTAGAGTTAAAAACTTATCCCTCCAAATTCAGGGAGAAACCGAGTTAGAAAGAAGAAGAGGGTATTGTTTCAATACAAATCTATAAAGATTTTTACACCTTCATTCAAAAGAAAAAAAAAACACGTGAAGGATAAATTACATTTATTCAAACACATACATATTCATGGTTTCTTGTTCATCAAAAATCAGTCAATTTTTGTTCATGAATCTACAATTCTCCAGCATTTAGGGCATCTTGGTAAGTTTTACCTCTGCCCTGACTCTGATCCACAAGTTTAATCATATCATCTATTCTAAGAATTGTGATTGCAGCCTCGGTGGCAAACTTAAGGGACTTGATTTTGGACATTGCTGGTTCTAATACCCCGGCCTTCTTGTTGTCTCTCACTGTGCCTTGATACAGGTCCAATCCAACCCTATGTAAAGCATACAATAAAGTAGATTAGAATAAATATCATGTACTGTTGATCATAAAATTTCTTAACACCCTATTTTCGCATGAAAGTTATTTGCAATTACTAAAGGGGAAAAAATTTTTCTGAATTTTGGTTACTACTTTACCTAACCCCTTTTAAATAAATTTTCATGAGCAAATGATCTTGCCCATCTTCCTATGAAGAATGGCAGACAGAAAAAGGCAACACTATATGCCCAGGCCATTTCAATGCGGGGATAAAAAGCTATACTTTTTATCAATAAAACCTTACCATCTGAGGTCCCGGTGTTCCTGTTTGGTCTGGGACATGTTATGGTAGGCCCTTAACTTGGCGACTAAGTCAGTGGAGTCTTGAGCTGCATTAATACCTAGTTGTTTAGGGATTACTAACAAAGATCGTGCAAACTCTGCTATGGCTAGCTGTTCCCTAGAACCCTGTGCAGGAAAAACATTTTTCAGATGATATTTTCATGCAAGTCTAATTTGGAAACTAAATGTTGGATAAATTCATTTTTATTTAATAATTTTCGAAACATTCTTGGTTTAGACAGAGCTGCCAACATGAGAAAATTAAAATTCGTAATGAGGGGTCCAGGGATCGCCAAGGCTGGCCGTTGGCGATTTTTCTCCCATTCTGTTTACATTAAAATGATTTTAAATCACACATTAGCATAAAAACGGGCAAAAACAATACAGGCAAGCACTGAAACGACTATAACTCTTTATTATGATGGTTGAAATCTACGGAAATGCTGATATTTCTACTTTATGATGGAGAAAAACAAAATTTGGAA